TATATATATATATATATATAGCGTGTAGATAAGTGTTCGGATACACAATTACTTGGATACATGTGTTTTCTTTCTTTTCTCTACAAATGCGGATAACCGATAGATTATCTGATAGATACATCTGCATAGAAATTTGCAACTATTATGATACTCTCAAGTAGATTCACGTTATAATTTATTTTGCGTTTTATCTGATTTTTACAAGAGAATTAGTAATATGTATATAATAATAATAATATAATGGATAGGTATTTCTGATTAATACGTTGTATCAATATCAGATGTTTCATTATATTGCATTTTTAGCATGTACACGCGACATTGGCCTTTTACATGCATATATCGGCTAGAATGTGTACACGCCCATACATACGCAGACAACGCCAGGTTCGATGTATATGCGAACTTTCGTGAAATTCGAGTCCTTTATTTCCGCGCGGGTTTGCGTCCCGTCGATGCGAAAAGCGCGCCGAAGAAAAATCTCAAGTGTGCATCGTCTTCGAGAGATCCCGCAGGAGGGGTAAGGCGGAAAGTGAACGCTTTGGAAGCTTGGGCGAATTCTTACGTTCACCGTTACGATTCTGCAGGATCTACAAGATCTGAGAAAAGAGAGAGAGAGAGAATCCCGCCCATACTTCCGCTCGATATCGGTCCTGCAGAAATTTCGGCCATTTTCCGCTGTGAATTTTTCTCGCAAAACGCTCAATGACCGCGAACGTTGCGCGTGCGGAAGCCGCGGTTGACAAGAGGGAGAGAATATTATCGAGTTCGTCGAGATCCTAATAAATTCGTTGTTAGACCCGACGCTAGATTGAGCTAATTTATCACGTGCATCTGTAAACGATTGGTCTGAATCGCGAATCTGTGTGCGTTCGTGTGATACGCATTAGCGGCGGTCTCAATCCTGGTTAAATATTCGAGTTTTCGAGATTCAAAGGCGTGATTAATGTAGCGGTATGAGGTTGACATGGCGACATTATCATCGGTACAATGGACGCCAGGTGTTTCAGACAGGAAGGGCTAGAGAGGCAAGGAGTATAATGCCGTCAAGCAACGCCACTTAATGAGCTGCCGGGAACAAAGCGGGAAGAACTGCTTTGTCATTTCTTTTTTCGTGCTCCAATTACTTAGCGTTTTAGAACAGTTGTACGTGATTATCTTTCCTTCCCTTCTCCTCGTCCGGCTTACGCAATATGTCTCCTCGCAAAAATCGGTCCGGATGAATCGAGTTGTTGTTTTACACGATAATCGTTTTAAGCTGAGCGTCATTATCAGCGGAACAACAAAATTAATGTTTTATCCGCGGAGCCGATAACAGCGCTATCTCAGCGTATCAATCGCCGAAAAAGCGGACACAATGACCACGATAAAATTATAGTCGCGCACGATGGGACTGCGTCACACGTGAATTTTCCTATAATACGGTTGAAATTCGAAAGCTGATGTATCGATCCGAGGTCTCAAATTGTCCGCTCGTTCTGATCTTCTTGCGTTATGTCCGAGCGAGGGACGGGAGGTTTGAAACTGGACGTCGAAGACGAGGGCTGCTGAGATCAGAGGAAGGACCAGGGTTTAGGAAAGGGACGGCTGGTACGTTATCGCGTCATACTCCAGCAGGTACGGAGGGTGGGCGCCCTCTTTTCGCCCTAATTCCCTTCAATCCTGATTCGTCCCATCTCCCAGAAGCATATCGCAATCGAGTTTCGTTTATTTTTCAAGAGGCGCGCCCGCTCGACAGAAATTGGCGAGTATATTGGGCGATATTCGATCCTCGAAAAGTTTAATCCCAATTTTAAAAGCGCCGCCATGTTACGCAATTCCCGTGCAGTTAGAGCGTGTTGCAACTTTAACGCGATTAAGTTAAATTTGATTACAGCCTCTCTCTCTCTCTCTCTCTCTCTTGTCGATTGATATTTTACGAGGCAAAAAACTCGAGGCGTTGACCAAATCAAATTTACTCCCCATACAACTCGGCGCTTCCCCCGAAAAGAGACGAAAACGATATCGCACCGGCCTTATGACGACCTCGGGATCCACAGGCGAGTTTCTTCCCCGCGGCACGCAACGCCGACAAGTTTATTTTCGAACAAATCCGTTTCAATAGATCGGATGCGACGATCCAGTGGATTATCCCCCGCTTATATCGTCGCGCCCTCGAAGATGGCGGAGCGATTGTTGGGATATCGTTCCCTTCGCGGCGATACAAATAGTTATTGCTCGAAACCGCGAGACCGTCGTCGTCGTCTCGGATTACGAAGCGCTTGTCCGCGCGCGGTAAACATCTTTTATTAAAGTGCACGTTGCGCTCCGCTGGCGCGTCAATTTTTCAAAGAGCCCCCGAGCTCTTTGTCTTCGCGTCTCTCCATCTAACTACAGCGATGAGCGCACGTGGCAGCCGGTAGGAGCGATTAATCGTTCCATCATCGTCGCGGACGGCCTCGCTCCGCGACAATGGCGGAAACGGAACCCCCTGCCGTCGCCCTTGCCGCGCCGCAAGATAAAACTATTTTCACTTCCTTCCGGGTTTCAGGAAAGAGGAGGCCGCGCGATGTTTCTTCCGGCGAGTGAATAGCGAACGTCGTGTTTAACCCTTCTCTGTGCGATAGCTTATATTTTTGCGGATTTGTTTAGACACGGCGCCCGATGTGCTATTCTTCTTCAATGTGCAAAATCCACGTTCTTTTTGCGATAAAGTTGTCAACAATAGTGTCACCGACGCGAAGTACCCTTTTATAAAGCGTATCTTCAAATCTTACAGTAGGAAGAATTGCATTTCCGAACTCCATACACGGAGAAAAATAATTTGTTGGTACAGCAAATTTTGTCGTAACAATATCTGCCAGCTGCTACGCGGACAGCTGAACGATTTGTTGAGAACACTAACCGCTATTCGCTGGATTATTTTGCTGAATCTATAAATGATTTTGCTGTAAGAACAAGTTAGTAAATATAGAGAAACACTATTTCGTTCTACCAGCAAATTAACATTGTTCTAAAGACAAATTCACCAGAATATTTTCTAACCTGACGCAAAAGAAAACTGTTTCTGCTCTAAATACGAATAATTCGTTAATTTGGTCGATGCGAAATAAATGTTGTCGCTGTCGCAACGAATATGCAGCAGTAACGATGATTTCGCTACAACAGCAAAATGATTTTTCCCCGGATGAAAACACGGTGAGACATCGGTCATGAAATTGACGAAATTTTTCGGTGAATTAACGACGCCTCCTTTCCCTTCTCTGTTGCAGGCTGTGCATTCGTGAAACTTTCGTCGCACCAAGAAGCACTGGCGGCGATAAACTCTCTACACGGTAGCCAAACTATGCCGGTGAGTATCCGCCGTAATAGTAACAACATCGCCCGATCATTATTTTTTATCTTCCGATCCACCTCTTCAGCCGATGACCGCCAGTCATCGTGTTCACGGACGCCGCATATTTACGCTAGGAAAATGTCACGTACGCGATATTAACGGAAAGGAGGGTAAATATTCATAGAAGCGTTACACTTGGCAGGGCTGATATGAATATCGAGGATGGGGATGCGCGCTACGCTCTCGGGCAGTAGATGGCCGTCTTCTGTTAAAGGGGGTGGAGATCGGGGTAGCCGTAGCAATGGCTGTCGTGCCTGCAAACACCCCAGTAATGACTGGCCAAACAGAAATCTGCATAACACTTGGAGAAGCGCGGCTCGCCTCCTTCTCCGCAGCCGGAGAGAACGTCCCTCGGTCTCCGTCAAACCGCCGAACTTTCTCGGCTTAGGGTCGGACCAGGAATTTCCAGTTGTAATTGAATTGTCAGTGAGTTCCGTCCGGGATTCCACCTGCTGATTGGCGAAACTTTGCAAAGCCGCTTGCCGGACCTTCGATCGTCCCTGTCGGCGTTATTGCCTATCGACCGCCGCGCGCTGACATGCATTGACGCGCCTAAGAGGACTCGCGTCTGAGACAATTATTAGATCCCACAATGCGCAATCGAGATCGCGACGGGGATTACGATTAATTACCGTTTCCAAATCTCTTACCTCTCTCCAATGAATACCACGGGTGTGTGTAAGACGCACTATCAATGAAACAAATATTATATAGTGAGGGATTTATATGTCCGGAGACCTATTTTTACGGTAAGCTATACTTTATATGTGTAGTATGTGCAATAATCTTATATACATATTGTTACTGTTATAAAGAAAAGAATTCGTTTCTGGATTTCGTCTCGATTTCGAATTTTGGATCGCTCTCAGAGTGCGGGAAATATATTATATACGTATATATTTATTTATTACTTCAGCTTTAGCCAAGAAAGGGACTTGGTTTGCAATTTTCACTTTATCACACTCATATTTTCTCTTTGTAACACTAATATTTACAATCTGATCTCACAATCCTAAACACAGTCTTTATATCTCTATATATTTTTCTATATTATATTATTCTGCTATCTCATGGTCATTATCTATTCTCTTTTTCTTTTCCTCTCACGGTTTCTTCAATATTTTCCCTTTTCCTGCATCAAATTCATCATTTCATATTCTTTCCGACCATTTTCCTTTGCTACTATCTAATTCTTTAGCCTCTTTACACTCTTACATAATGTTCTATCTTGCCATCTTTACGTAATACTTATTCCTATCCTCTATCCAATAATTATTTCTCTTTCTCATATGAAAAAAATATTATATAACAATGAAATATAAGAGCAAAATACATGAATGACGAAAGCTTCTCCGAGCAATCTATATATCCAAGAAAGAGCACCGTTCTCGAATCTGACGCAAATATGTGGTCGCGCGCGACTTTTTACGTTATCAGAACCAGCGCAGTGGTAACATCATGTTTCGTGTCCTCTCACGTCACACGAGACGATTAGAAAGAGAGGCTGGCTGAAATTTTCGGTATCCGATTCACGTCGCGCGTACGTGTACGGCCGTCGCCGTGGGACGGGAAATCGTGGAAGCGTGCGGGCTGGTTACGTGAATATTACTCGTTACAACGTCCTAATTTAATAGCCGAATACGGGCGGAAGACGGAGTAGAGACCGTGACTATTTGCCCGCGAAAGAGGTACTGACAGCGCACGCGCGCGCACGAGCCGTAATATGCAGATTGCTTAATTATCGCGACGAATTATGCAAATCCCGACGCCGATGTTACGAGATTTCACGGCACTGCCGAGGCCGAAGGGAAAGCGGCGAGTGTCGGGGTTAACGCTTTCACCGAAATACCGACCTTCGACCCTGAACTATTCGACCCAGAAGAGATACGAAAGGCACGCGTTCTACGCCGGCGGCTTAATTATTGCGGCGAATTATGCAGATTTCGACGTTATGAAATTTGGCGCGGAGGAGTGTGGCGTGGAAACATTCGTCGAGCAATTTACAATTAGTGCCGGCGAATCGTGCGGTTTGGCACATAGATTTTAGCAAGCGGGTTTCTACCTCGTGGGCACCGCGAAAAATGTAACTCGATGAATTATTTGTTTAACGTTATTCGATGGTTTTTCGTCCTTTTTTACTAGTTCGTTACTAGCGTCACACATGCGCGACGATCTCTCACGAGAGGCCAACGTCATGTAAGATAAAAGTATCAATGCTTTGATATGTACCTAATTGTGGACATTCTTGTTGTTTTGGTCTTTAAATGTTTAATCTTTAAACATAAAATATTTGTATACATTCTATATATATATATATATATATATATATATATATAATATATCCTATTTTGTAAGCTTGAATATTATAATGTATAATATATCCTATTTGGAAAGTTTGAATATTCGCATTTAAAGGCCAAAACAACAAATACGTCCAGAATTAGATACATGTTCAGACATTGATATTTTTATTTTATAGTACGTGTAGCAAGAAATTTGGTTCTAGGTTCATATTACTGAACCAAGTCTGTTTTACACGTTTATGTAAAAAAAAAAACAAAAGAAACACGAGATGACCTATGGGGATATATCTTATCAAGGAACGTGTTAAGAATCGTATATTTTCGCTGTCGCCGTTATTTGGATAACAAGCGATATCGTCGGCCAATCAATAAATCTTTCGCGGGAAACAATCGCGGTGGACGCGATGTTATGGAGCCCCAAGAGTAATTCGGTTCGACTATGTTCGTTCCAGTTTCCTCTGACCTGGCGCAAGATCAACCCCTCCTATCTATCCGTTCGCGGCGATCTATATAGGCACATATGTGCGCGCATAAAAATGTCAGATGTATGTACGGGGCCACACACGTATGTCATCTCGCGTGTGTGTCCTCTGCTTTCAGCCACTCGAACACGTCGACACTCTCGGTCACGAAACTGCATTACGAACGCAACATCTCGGCTCATACCTACGAAATGAGATATTGATTTGCAATCTGATACTGTAATACGCGACGACGCGCTGTCGGCGGCCTGCAGACGACGCTCGTGGTGGAAGCGTGAAATCGTAACACCTTATGAAATCTGCACGATGTGGTCGCGCAACGTTGACGTTATTTTGATACCGACAAATCTGTTGCAAAACTGACTTCTCTTCAATTACTTTTAACGCGAGGTTGTAACAATCCGGCTTTCGGGCGCAATAGATGCACACGTGACATACATCGAGTTAATTGCAAATGTTTGCCTCGCGCGTTGCGTTTAGATTAATTTGAACATTCTAGTATAAACACAAGACACACGCATTTACACAAGAAAATCATTATATTATTGAACGTTATAAATATCTGATGTTTACTTGCGCGACGATTTGTTTGTGTATCGACCAAATGAGGTTTCTTTACAGCGGATACATATTATATTACGATATAAATATGGAATTTGCACGCGCGGTGATAAATTACACACGTTTCCCGTTGAAACTTCGGTATTTTTAACATTGTACGTATGGCCGCGAGATTAATATTGCAGTACTTTCGCTGACAATGCAAAAACATTACCGTAAAACTGCCCCTTCCACTTTTATTTCGTTTTCACGAGCGAGCTAATGCGATTTATCCTCTACGGATCGGCGCATTTATGCGGCAGGCAATATTTCTTCAGGCGCTCAATATTTTAGCCGATTTTACAATCCGTCGTTTGGAATATTACACGCGGAAGGTTTTTAATTCCTAACAATGCGGAGACGTTTATACATCGGTCGCGGCAAACATTTTTTCCCGATTTCACGGCCCGTATAATGCGGTTTACACTCCTCACGGCGACGCCGCCGTGCCTCTCTCCTGCCGAGCAATATTTCTCCAGTGGCTCAATGTGTTCCCGGATTTTGCGATTCTCTCCACGTGGCTTTAAAACAAATTTTTTTCAAATAAACGCTTTACCGAATGGTAGTCTCGTCGGTCGTATTCCCGCGGCAACCACTTCTCCAGGCTAATACTTTATGAAATATCACAGAAATTTCCGGCGACCTGATGAAAATGCCATTACAAACCGTGATTCCGCCATGCGAAATGTTGAGATAATGCGGCTTTACTCTTTCCCTTCCGTACTCTCCGATGGAATTGAATCTTTTTACTCGCAGCGATAATCTACCACGACACACGCAATGTTGCAGCCATATAGGAATATTATAAGCACCGAACTTTTTGTGCACTTTTTTGTTTGATCGATCCACGAGCTGTTTACACGTCTCGAATCAGAGGCGCGTTCGTGCATCACGCAACGGCCAATATTTCTCCAGGGGCTCAATATTTCCGCGGTGTTCGCTCCCACTTATTTTCTCTCTACCTATTTATACATCTATCTTTCTCTATCTCCCGCGGTATGTGTCAACGTGGTGGTATGCGACCGAGGCAGCCTCACGTAGTTATGCCTTCCGAAGCGTGTGACATTTCTTGTCACGCCTCGCGAACCCTCCAACGTCGCGCGCCCCTCGAAATCTCCCCCTCGCGCACATATATCTTCTGGAAATGTCTCGTAATAAAAGCAAAAACCGCGGGAAGTGTTTCGTCGCGTCGGAGGACGAGCGGTGGAACGACGTCCCGTTGGTCCTATTCGGGCAACTTTGGCATACCGTCGATTATTGCCATCTCCCCGCAGCGAGGCGAGAAACGTACCTACGGTCTTCCTGCGGGAGTTTTAAACGTTTTTTGGGGCTGTATTATCTATTTAGGCGACGCGTCTCGACCGGTCGAGCGTATATTTTCAAGTAGAGAGTTTCTTGTAGGACCGAACCGTCACATGAACCGTCATGCCAGCCAATCATACATAGAAAAAAAGTGCTAGAATCAAGTAAATGTCTGTCTTTCAGCATCTTAAATCAAGTTATATTTTTATCAATTTAAATGTATCTTAATAGCTTGTGGTACATACTTACGGGTGCAGTAATACTTTAA